AGATCCTCGGTTTTTTGGCTGAGATTTGGAAAGAAAAAGGGCTCCTCGGTTTTTTGCCAGGGAGATCCTCGGTTTTTTGGCCGGGATTTGGAAAGAAAAAGCTCCTTGGGTTATGCCAGGGAGATCCTCGGTTTTTTGGCCGGGATTTGGAAAGAAAAAGTTCCTTGCTACCATGATTGTTTCTCTTTTGGGGTTTTCATTTTCACTTCTTTTTTTTCTTTTTTTTTCTTTTCTTCTTCTTTTTATATTTTACTTTTTATTTAGCAAGCGCATGAAAGAATTTAGGGGGGGGGGGACTTCCTTTTGGTCGTTTTCCTGCTGCAAAGCTGTTTCAGCGGTTGCGCATTTCACTTATTTTTCGGTTGCACCTGCTTCTTGCATGCTTGCTCTGAATAAGACCTGTTTTCAACAAAGAACATGTTAGTTTGAAACGATGGTTGGTTTTGTGGCCTTGATCATCCCAATTGCTTGATCCCGACCCCTTTTCCGTTGAGAACTTTGCTGCTTGTTGGCCTTGAGGGTGAATCTCTTTTCAAACCGACCGGGTTCAACTCTCAGGATTTCATTATGACTCGCCCGTGTGGGCTCTGGCCTTTTCACTTTATTCTGCCCTTGCCTTTGATTTTCTTTCTTTTCCAATGTCTTTGCTTCGAAAGCATCAACCACTATGGTCAGTCGGGATTGGCCTAACGCACTCGCTGAGGATGGGTATTTTCTTCGACTCTGACCAGGCGGAGCCCTGTGAAATCGGTCCTGCCACCTTTTCTTTGTAATAGTTACAGAATCAAAGTTAAACCGAAAGGGATTCAAAGAAAAAGTATGCAAAAGGCAAGCATATGATTTTAAAAAGAAGCGTCCCTTTCGGGGGAAAAGAAGGACTTATCTGGGGTGTATGCTGGCTTCAAATGAACATGACATGCTTCTTGGACTGGACGCCCGACCCACACAAACTTTCCAGCTTCTCGTGAACCCATTGATTCGCATTTCAAAACCAGGGAACCTTGCCAGGACTCTTTTAGTGATGAGATGTCTTCTTTTCGGCCGACAGCGCCCTTTGCGGGTTTTCGCCAATCGACCTCTCCCATTTCTCTTCTCACTGTTGCCCGATAGTGCTCTTTGCGAGTTTTCACTAAGCAGAATCTCTGGTTTTCAGTTTCTCTACTCACCATCACCTTATGGTGCCCGAAGGTTTTCACCGATAAGACTCTCTCATTTTATTTCTCTCAATTTGCATTGTGTCAGATTCCAAAAATAACGTTTTCCAGTTCCCTGCCTTTGCCAATTGATCGGAAGGACTTGGACAAGGTCTTTGGGGTAAAAAGAATTTTGGGCGGAACTACAACTTTGGAACCATTTCGGCGGACTCTTGGCCGAACCATTATATCATCTGCCCCAGTTTCAACTCTTGGGGGAATTGGGATTTTTATTTTGGTGTGACTGAACCTCAGCGAGAGGCTGCCTACATATCCTTTCGGAATCAAGTCAAACGTAGTTCAGGCAAAACATTTGTTTTTGATTTTTGTTTTTGTTGTGTTTTTCTTTTTCTTTTCTTTTCTCTTCTTTTTTTTTCTTCTTCTTTTTTTTTTCTTTCTTTTCTTTTCTTTTTCTTTTTCTTTTTCTTTTCTTTTCTTTTCTTTTTCTTTTCTTTTTCTTTTCTTTTCTTTTCTTTTTCTTTTCTTTTCCTTTCTTTTCCTTTTGTACTTACGGATTCCAAAGAGGGTAGCCAAAGAAGGGTAACTGGCTCAAATGGGTTTACGGAGGGTTAATAGTGTTTGGATAGCGAGAAGAAAAGCCTTCGTCATCTCAATTGCACAAAAGCCGTCACCACAGGAGGCCTAGACGTAATACCTTTGTATCTGCATTTACTGCTGCTTCAGGATCATTTCCTTCGATATCCCCCAAATACAATGCTCCTCTTGGCAATATCTTCCGGATTATGTATGGACCCTTCCAGTTAGGAGCAAATTTTCCTTTGGCTTCCTGGT